GTTAGCCCTGGATGGACTGCTACGATCTAAAGCTTTAAAAGTTAAACAGAGTACTTTGCAGATGTTCTTAAAACAAATAGATCTAGCGGCCCCGTGGTTTGCTTACTCGGGCAGTCTCACGACCCCCAGCTGGGAAAAGCTAGGCAGGGATTTAGATTTTGCACACGAACAAGGGACCCTCGAAGGTGGGGTGATTCCCTTATGGAAGTTAGTAAGGGGTTGTTTATCTGACGGTAGATGTCAGGATGCCCTAACCAAAGGACAGGAGGTTCTTGAACAATTGCATGAGGAGAGGTCCGAGGGAGCTGAAAGTATTAAGAGTGGGGGAAGTGATAGAGATGATAAAAGTTCAAGTCAGCCAAAGACTAGACTTTATCCAGATTTGACTGAATTGAAAGCCTTTGAGGAAGACAGTAGTTCAGATAATGAGGAAGTATTGGAATTGCTATCACGGCAAGCTAGAGAGAAAAGGGGAAAAGGTGAAACTAAAGGGCGAGGTGATCCCCGTAAGGCTGTCTACACAGAACATAAGTACCCAAAGACAGATGTGGGATATGAGGAAGAGGGGAAGGATGCTTTGGAGATTCCTCCTGACCCGCCACCCTATCCTAACCCAGGATCCAATAGGACGTTTCATGCACAAACATGGAGAAAGGTTCATTCGGACATGGGTCTAGCATTCCCTGTGTTTCAAGATGCCAATCGGGGGCGATATCATGAACCCCTTGACTTTAAAATTGTCAAGACATTGGCTGAATCAGTCCGAACCTATGGTGTGGATGCTGCATTTACACTTACCCAGGTGGAGGGCCTTTCTCGCTTTTGTATGACTCCGTCTGATTGGGCGAGCCTGGTGCGTGCCTGTATTTCTCCAGGAAAGTATCTGGATTGGAGAGCATTTATGTTAGAGGGGGCAGTAGAGCAGGCGGCCCAAAACCATGTGGCGGGACGCCCTGCCTGGGATAAGGACATGCTTTTGGGACAGGGCAGATTTGCCAATCAACAAACAGGGTACCCACCGGAAGTATATGAGCAAATCAACAACATCTGCATCCGAGCCTGGAAGTCCTTGCCTAACAGAGGGGAAGTATCTGGTAATCTAACTAAGATCATCCAAGGCCCCACAGAGCCTTTTTCTGACTTTGTAGCTCGGATGGTAGATGCAGCGGGGAAAAATATTCGGAGACCCTGATAGAGCTATGCCTTTGATCAAACAACTTGTTTTTGAACAATGTACTAAGGAATGCAAAGCAGCTATAACCCCATATAAAAATAAAGGAATAGAGGCATGGATGAAAGTCTGTAGGGAAATAGGTGGGCCCCTTACTAATGCAGGGTTGGCTGCTGCCGTTCTCCAGCTAACCCGAAAACCACCTCCTCATACAGGAAAGTGCTTTAGATGTGGCCAGGAGGGACATTTTAAGCGTGATTGTCCCCGAACAGGTCAGTTACAGGACAAAAAAGGGTCATCCTCAATTGTTCGACAGCCAGGACTATGTCCTCGTTGCAAGAAGGGTAAACATTGGGCTAATGAATGCAGATCAGTCAAGGACATTCATGGACAGCCAATACCAGATAGACAGATGCCAAAAAACGGCCGGAAGGGCCCTCGACCTCAGGGCCCGCAAATATATGGGGCAATGGAGAATGGGACAATGGAGAGCGAAACATGGCCATCTCTACGACATCCCAAAGATCGCGGAGAACCACTACAGGTGCCGCGGGACTGGACCTCTGTTCCGCCTCCAGACTCGTATTAACACCTAAAATGGGAGTCCAATTGGTGGAAACTGACTTTAAAGGACCTTTGCCACCTGGTACTGTAGGGTTGTTAGTTGGGCGTGCTTCTTCCGCTTTACAAGGCCTTTACATTTTCCCTGGAATTATTAATCTGGATACAATAGGAACAGTAAAGTTTATGGTAGCAGCTCCAAAAGGTATTGTGTCCATCTCCCCAGGAGACCAGATTGCTCAATTGTTAATTCTACCCAGTCTACATACCCGTTTTCCTGCTGGCTCCCATTTGAGATTAAACGATAAGATTGGAACAACGGGGGAAATTGTGTCTTTTTGTCCTTAGAAATGGATGACCGTCCCACATTAAACTTAACTATAGAAGGCAAATCAATTTTAGGATTACTGGATACTGGAGCAGATCGTAGCATAATAGCAATGAAGGACTGGTCAAAGGGGTGGCCGGTGCAACTCTCGGATCAATCGCTGAGGGGTTTAGGATATGCTCAAGCTCCACAAGTCAGCTGTAGACATCTATCATGGAAAGATTCTGAAGGACATTCTGGCATTTTTCAACCATATGTGCTTGATCTTCCAATCTCCCTATGGGGACGTGATCTTATGAAGGACATGGGGTTTCAACTTAGCAATGAATACTCAGCAGTTGCCCAAAAGATAATGCAAGACATGGGTTATAGACCAGGTCTTGGATTAGGTAAAAATTTACAGGGACGTAGACGTCCCGTACAATCAATACCAAAACTTAACAGACATGGGTTGGGTTTTTCTTGGGGGCTGTTGAGGATCAGGTGCCCATTACCTGGAAGTCAGGGGAGCCAGTATGGGTGCCTCAGTGGCCACTCTCCTCTGAGAAACTGGCTGCAGCACATGTTTTAATTCAAGAACAGTTAAAGTTAGGACATATAAGGCCATCCACTTCTCCTTGGAATACACCCATATTTGTTATTAAAAGGAAGACTGGAAAATGGCGGTTGCTGCACGATCTACGGGCTATTAATGCTCAAATGCAACTCATGGGATCTATTCAGAGAGGGTTGCCTTTACTTTCTACTATCCCTAAAAATTGGCCAGTGATATGTATAGACATTAAAGATTGTTTCTTTTCCATCCCATTGTATCCTCTAGATTCAGAACGTTTTGCTTTCACCTTGCCTTCGTGTAATCACGAGGAGCCTAATCAGAGGTTTGAGTGGGTGGTTCTGCCGCAGGGCATGGCAAATAGTCCTACCATGTGTCAAATGTTTGTAGGTGCGACTATTGCTCCACTCAGACAAAAATATCCATCATTAAGGTGTGTACATTATATGGATGATATTTTGTTAGCATCAAAGACCCAGGGTATGTTGGAGGCCGCTTATACTGATTTAGTACATTTGCTACAGTTGAAAGGCTTGCTTATTTCACCTGATAAGGTACAGATGGGGGACTCTATTAATTATCTTGGTGCTACTATCTCTTGTAAAGCTATCACACCCCAAAAGATAACTCTGAGGACTGATAAATTACAGACACTGAATGATTTTCAAAAATTATTGGGTGATATAAATTGGATTAGAAGTTACCTACATATTCCCAATGTTGAATTAAAACCTTTGTATGAAATTCTTAAAGGTGATTCAGATCTTACTTCCCCTCGACATCTTACTGAGGAAGCCAGGTCAGTGTTGCTTAAAGTGGAAGGGGCTATACAACATGCTAGCCTTTGTAGATTTCAAGAGGATAAACCTCTCCAACTATGTGTGCTCGCCACTGTGCTACAACCTACTGGAGTTTTATGGCAAGATGGTCCTTTACTGTGGATACATCCACGTATGTCCCCTGGAAAATCCCTTGAGTATTATCCTGATGCAGTTGCTTCCTTAGCTATGTTAGGGATACGACAAAGTGTACAATTTTTTGGTTTCTCTCCAATGTCTGTGATTGTTCCTTATACATGTCAACAAATTCTGGTCTTATGTGCTAACTTGGATAATTGGGCTATATTACGATGCTCTTTTTTAGGAGAGAGAGATAATCACTATCCATCACATCCTCTTATTACATTTGTTAAGGAACATCCTATCATTTTCCCTAAAATCACTTCTTCTACGCCTATTCCAGGAGCTGCAAATATCTTTACAGATGGATCTAAGACTGGTAGTGGGGCTTATGTGATAAATGATCAACCTCCTATCCAACATCAGTTTGCTCCTGGCAATCCGCAATGGGTGGAGCTGCAAATTGTCATAAAAGTTTTTGAACAATGTCCATTTCCTTTTAATTTAATCTCAGATTCTGTCTATGTAGTTCAAGCTTTAAAGGTGTTGGAAGCAGTGGGTCCCATACACACATCAGGAGTAATGTCTTCCCTTTTTCTTCATCTTCAAACATTGATTTGGAATCGTTCCGCCTGTTTTTACCCCTTGCATATTCGAGCCCACACAGGTTTACCGGGTGCTCTTTCTGCGGGTAATGCCCAGGCAGATCTTGCTACTCGTCCTTCTTGGGTGTTCCCTATTTCCTCCTTAGATCAAGCTAAAAACTTTCATAGTAAGTTTCATATTAATGCACGAGCACTTCAGAAACGCTTTACCATCTCCCGTGCTGATGCTCGACAGATTGTGTTGGATTGTCCTAATTGTGTGATTTTACATCATCCTCCTTCTATAGGCGTAAATACTCGTGGTTTACGGCCTTTAACTATATGGCAAATGGATGTTACTCATGTTCCTGACTTTGGTAAACTTAAATATGTCCATGTATCTGTAGATACTTGTTCTGGCATTATCTATGCTTCCGCTTTGTCTGGGGAAAAAGCTGGAAATGTTATCACACATTGCTTGGAAGCTTGGGCAGCCTGGGGATTCCCACAGTCCATTAAGATGGATAATGGTCCAGCATATACTGGGCGACAATTTTCTTCCTTTTGCAGCCAGATGGGTATCCAACTTGTCCATGGTTTACCTTACAATCCACAAGGCCAGGGTATTGTAGAGCGCGCTCATAAGACTCTAAAAGAGATGTTACTAAAACAAAAAGGGGGAATTGGCTTAGGCCACTCCCCGAAAGAGCGCCTCTCCCTGGCTCTATTTACTATCAATTTTTTAAATTTGGACATTCAAGGGCGCTCTGCTGCAGATAGACATTGTTTGCCCTCTGCCCCGAATTTTGGGTATGTTAAGTGGAAAGATGTCCTTTCCGGACAATGGTATGGGCCTGATCCCGTGCTGGCATGGGCACGAGGTTCTGTCTGTGTTTTCCCACAGGACCGAGCGGAGCCGGTGTGGATCCCTGAACGACTAACGAGAAAAGTCTCGAAGACAACTGACCAACAACGGGGGACCCTACAGGAGTCCAATGATGAGACCCTTCATTCTGCTGAGTATCCTGGCCCTATCACAGATGATAATGGTCCAGATGTTACCGATGCAGTGGTGGGCGGTAGCTCGGACATGGCCGATGCCGATGCTGGTCCATAAAAATTCTAGTGTCCTCCCCACTCTTTTTTCTATTTCATGTGAGATGTCTGCCCCTTGTGTCTCCCCTAGAGGAGACAGGGAACGGGTTTTCAACCTTTCTCGTGTTAATCTCACGGGAGTTTTCTGCTTCAGTTTCTTGAGAACCCGTTGTATTCGCTTACAGCGCAACAATTTGACCAATTGGGAGGACCCCTTACAGAACAGTAGGGTCTCACTGGGAACCTTGTCTGTGGTGCTTAACCGAGTGAGTAATGGGGAAAAGGAGGGCTCAGGAGAGACTACAAATTCGACCGAAATGAATATCACCACTTTGGCTATAATTTCCCAGGTGTCACTCCCGGTGGCTTTTCCTAACGCTAGTAATGCCACTTATTTTAAGGCCTCTCCTTATTGTACCCCGTACTATTCTTTCCCCCCGACATTCATGCCTTGTCAAGATCATTCTTGGGAGAAGCACCAAGTTGCTGTGGGTTTCTCTCTTTCCCCTTCTCTTAAAAGGTATTTGTATAATTCTTCCAAGGCTAATTCCACTACAGGAACAGGCTGGTCTTGGTTTCAATGGTTGATTTCCAATGAAAAGGGGGCCACAGCCGATGTCTCTGCTCTGGCTCAATTGAGAGGAGTCCAGAGCTGGCTGTTTAATGTGTCTGGCTCTGTACAGGACACTGCTAATGGTAGGAGGCTTAAAAACATTTCATACAATTCTCAGGTGTCCAATGCCACACTGCCCTCTGCAGCAGTCTGCCTTCATTCTCCGTTTCTGTTCCTTTTGACCAATGATACCAATACTACAGGATCAGAAATGATTGACTGTTCTAATTGTACATATGTCTTATCTGAGTGTTGGAATGGATCTTGGAGCACGGCAGTTGTTATGAAGGTCCCGACTTTCGTCCCGATTCCGGTTACTGCAGATCCGGACTCCTTCCCTATTGTTGAGGTGCTCAGGAGCCGTAGGGATTTTGGAATCACGGCAGCTATTGTAACAGCGGTTGCAGTGTCTGCTGCTGCAGCGGTCACTGCTGGAGTGGCCATGGCTAATCAAGTGCAGACTGCGGCCACGGTTAATCAGGTCATCCAACAAACTTCCAACATTTTAGAGTCTCAAAGTAAAATCAATCAACATATTTTATCAGGAATTTTGGCCGTTAATCAAAGGGTGGATCTCCTCCAAGCTCAGATTGAGGAATTGTCAGACCTAGTACATTTGGGTTGTGTTGATCATCATGCACATCTATGTATAACATCTCTCAGATTTAATGATTCCAGGAATACCTCTCAAATTATTGGACAGTACCTGGCCGGAAACTGGTCCATGGAAGCAGAGAAGTTGATCCAGACCCAACTGACACAAATTGCCATGTTGAACAACACTCGTGTGGACCCTGTGACATTGGGCCAATTTACGAATTGGTTGTCTTCTGCTTTTTCTTTCTTTAAGGAATGGGTGGGAGTAGGCATTTTTGGAGCGATGTGTTGTTTTGGGGTTGTCCTTTGTCTGTGGCTTTTCTGTCGCCTAGGAGCTCGCCATAGCCAAGAAAAGGCTATGATCGTCCAGGCTTTTGCAGCCCTAGAGAATGGTATCTCTCCACAAGTTTGGCTTGCGCAACTTAAGCAATGATTTCCTGGGTTTTGGCCATTGCACCCCAAGTTATCTTTGACATTGCACTGGGATTGGCATGCCCTCCTCTTCCTGCTTTCCCAGTTATGAAAGGCCATGCACTCTGCAGGCCTTGTTGCCATTGCACGCAGGTGGGCTTCCATGCTGGCACTGCACTTTATGCTTTGGACCCTTCGTTTTCTCAGGGGCTGAGAGATGGTGTTGCCACTTCCAACCTCATAGTCACGGATCGGCTACTTGTAAAATCCCCTTTCCTTTTCGTCGTCATCACGATGCAGGATGTGAGGCAAGGCACTGCACTTGAGTGATCCGGTCTCCGGACCTCAAGGGAAGCATGTCCTATTGCATACGGGTTTGACGTCCAAGCCCTGTCCCACGAAAAAAGGCGTCGGCTGATATGGTGTCAGATCTAGGGAAGGCGCCTCCTTCGGACTGAGCCATACATTGCAGCCATGTTTGCACAGTGGGATAGGACCTCTACTTTCGCCTGCATTGTTTTTTAAGAAATAAGGGGGAACTGTGGTGAGCCGTGTTTATAGACCGCTGCTGCCATTAGAAGATGGCGCCGGTCTCCGTTGTGGATCTTGGTAAACAACTCCTTATTTGGGAGAGTTGGCGTGCTGTCCCTCAGTACCCAATGAGAAAACCCTGCGTGGCAGCTTTGGATTGGACTTGAGTAAGCTTTATTAGGCTGTGTGGGGGTGCGTGAGGGAGAGAGAGCGCTTGAGAGAAACCTAGAGTTAAGGCCTGAATAAACCGCTGAAAGAAGAATCCTGTGTCGTGTCTTCCTTGCTGGCGAGGGGGTCGCGGCAGTTTGACCCAATAAGGCAAGAAAGCTGCTATTCTGGGCACTCTTGGATGAAATTCCCTGGTTTGAGAAAGCCTAGATCATGCTGGCACCCTGACCTAGCTCACAGCTCCAAGTACAAACACTGCCCTCTGGAGATGGGCACAACCTGCCAAGCACCAAACAACCCATTTACCCCAACACCTATCCTGTTGTTCATGAAAAAGCTCCCTACTGATTCCCTCTGGTCTGTACTGCTATATATAAAGCAAGCACAGGCATTTTCTCTTTGTTAGAAATCAAACCCATCTGGTCTGCTCAACCTGTCATGCTCCTGCTTTTAAAATATTTCTGGCTTTCTGTGTTTATTTTGTAATTCTACTTTCATAGCTTTTATTTTGCAAGCAGCCCACACCTGTGACAGGTACTCTGTTTACCCTCGAAGGATGCACACAGAACCAGCTGAAAGAATCATATGGTTAGTGAGTGCAGCTAATTATTAGCAACTATCATTCTCTAACCAGATAGTAAATACTGAAAGTTGAATTGGGACCAGACCAAGTTGGGTGAAATTCAGTTTATCTTTCAAATTGAGAATGGGAATATATTTTGATAGTACTTTTACAATCATGTGGAAAACCATTATTTTGAGAATCCTTACAAGACTGATGTTTATTTTGATATTCATATTTGCATTTTGAGAAATGCAAACATCAAGAATTCTCTTGTATTATATTTGAATCCAGGTGAAATATTCCCCAGGGCTATCATCAGTCATGTTAGCCCATGTAACAGGCATCTCTGTGTTCACATGAAAGCAGCAAAACTTCAGGATTCAAGTAACATTCTCAGCTAGGATCTTAAAGGCTATTTTAATAATGTTAACCTACATATAATAAATATTATAACAAGAATATTACAGCATCTATAGCTGTGTAACACAACCCCCACAACACACACATGTAAGGGGAAAACAAAGGCTTATCACCTGCCTTTTTAATTTTGAATGTGTTTTTAGATGTGTATTACTCAAGTGGTAATCACTGGTCACACATAGCTAGTGTTAAGCACTTGAAATTTAAAGAGTCTTAATTAAGATGCCCTGTAAAATGCAATACACACATCAGATTATGAAACCTTAGTATTATATTAATAATTTTTTATTAATTACATGTTGAAATGAGAATATTGTGGGTTCAGCACTTTGTTAAACTCTCCTTGGTCACCCAGTTTGAAATATGCATCTTGTTTCTTACAGGAACCTTGACTAATGTAACAATAAAATGAAGTATAGTTTTAAAAAATTCTACTAATATCACATTTTACATTTATTTATAAGAATTGAATTAGTTGAAACCCTTCTCTCCCCCCACTCACATACAGCCTAATTGAATAACTTTATTCATTTATTATTTATTTATTATTTATTTTGTTGTTGTTGTAGATGGACATAATACCTTTATTTTTTATTTATTTTTATGTGGTGTGAGGATCAACCCAGTGCCTTCCTCATGCTAGGCAAGCACTTCACTACTAAACTACAAACCCAGCCCCAACTTCATTTATTTTGTCTACAAAAGAAACCACTTAGCTGATTTCTTTTCCCTGAGGATGTACAAAAAAAAAAAATTTCCCACTTTATAGGGAAATACGGTTATTAAGAACCAGGTTTTGAGTCCTGAGTGCAAATCTAGTGATAAATAGTAATCAGTTACAACCAGGGACCAATCCAATGTTAAAATTAGTTGATAAGGACCCATATTATATCGCCTACTCCACCCAGAATGGCCCAAAGCAAATCTTGGATCTACTTCAAAACAAAAAAACCCTTCTTTTGAATGAAACTGAGATTAGATATTGTACATAATTTCATAATTTGACCTTTTAACAAATGGAGTTTGTCTCCCAAATACTTTGAAGGATTTTGTTTTTAGCAACAAGACAGAAATGAAATAAGATTTATGTTGCATGAAGGAAATTAGTAAATTCTAATTCCAACTGCTGAGGATAAGTGTTCAGAAAAGGAAAAGCAAAGATTTGGGCAGAAGATGTGAGTTTGAGTTTCAGCTCTGCCATGGGCATTAGGAGGGGTAATACCTACCTTCTTGGGATCGCTGTGAGATTGGAATGAGAAAATAAAGATAATGCCTTTGAGCACAGAACCTGGGACAGCAGAAATTCCGTCAATATCAGCTGTAATAATAATAAGAAGACTTTTAACATGTTCCAGTTGGGTTCCTTATTCTTAATTAAGCTTCTAAGTTTGATTGTGAGTAACAGAAAAGAAAGGTTCCTTCCCACAGCTTTATTAAATTTATATTCACCTGTTGTAAAAATGGCTTGGTTATTCAACAGATTTAGGGACATTTGGCTTCTTGTTTCTGGGAGATCCTTCCTTCCCCCATCAGCTCAACAGTCAGTCCCCAGATCCAGACATGGACAGTGAGCCTGGTAGTAGTGAGAATAAGACATCACCACTCAGTGCCACTCAACAGGTAACTGTTGAATTCACAATCCTCCTGCCTCAGCCTTGAAGCAATCCTTAAAGGAAGGAAGCACAGGTTCTCTTCATGGCTCCATGATAAGGCCCATAGCTAGTTCTTTCACGAAATATTCCATGGAATAAGTAAAGGAAGCCCAAGTTTGGGTGACAGAAATGGTAACAGTACTTTCAGACTGGGTTCCTGGTCCATTTTGGTATGTAATTACTTTGATAGGGCAAAAGCATACCACTCCATTCTGATACCACCCTATCTATAAATGATACCCCTGGACAATAAAATTTGGCCTTCCTTTAAAACTCCACTGGTCCTCTTTGAAGTGAAGTTGATTAGCACATACAGCTGTTAGCTGAGGGGTTTGTGGTTTTATTCTATTCAGGGATGGTCTTGTCTCTGCAACTTCTTGGTGATGAAATGTTAGTGAACTAATAGAGCTGATGTTTGCACAACATTGCAAATGTACTGATTGCCACTGAACTGCACTGAATTGAGTGTTCAGATGGTGAATTTTATGTTATATGTATTTTAATATAATGAGCTCAAAACTCCAAAGATGCATTGGAGGGTGCACTTTCCCAACCCTGACTTGTAACTGTATTTTTCTTCCCAGCATGTATACACCTATTTCATAGTTTGTCTTGAAATCTGAATGCCTATACATGTGTCTGCTTTTTAAAAATCTCCTGTGTGAGCATTCCACTTGGTAGCATTGAACATCACCTAGGAATATGTGACAAATTCACACCCCTATGTCAAGAGGATTAAGAATTTTATTAACTGCATGGACACACAGATCCCTTTGCAAAACTCTTTGGCCTTAGCACACGTTTGCCTACTCTAGAAAATTCTCCTGCCCTAAGGGGCAAGGCTGAGAAGGACATAGGGTCTGCACTCCCCAAAGGCATTGTATGGCTTTCTTAATAAATGGGAAGCAGGGGGTAGAGAGGGATCCTCAAAGAGTAAGACTGAACCAGTTTCTGGGATTCTTCTTTTAGCCACTCCATTTCCCAGCATAGGACTCAGGACTCTCAGTTCTTCCAGACATGAGTCAATATTGTTCTTTTATAAAGCAAAAATCATGAAAAGTGGCAGGTCTCAAAGACCTTCACAAGCACACAATACAAAGGAGGACTATGGTAGGTGGGAAAGACTCATAAAAGACAGCGTCTGTCAGGAAGTTCTTGAGGCAGAGGGTGGTGAATTATCTCCCAAGGAAATGCCTCAGCAGAAGCCAAGGAAGCTTTGTGCTAGTCAAGACACCCTGGCAGGCTCAGGAGGAGGCTGCTGGACACCACACACTGCTGGATGGAGGGAGGCGCTTCCTGGGCAGGTTTGTTCTGAGTCCAGGCAGAAGATTTCAGGTGCTCCTGCTATACCATTTCTCTCCGGAAATATGACGATTTCTTACATATAAACAAGGTTGCAATGATCCCTGAGACTAATATCATGGAGAAGAGGACCATGAGGAACACATAAGTTGAGTGGTAGAGAGGTGCGGTGAATGGCTGTTCAGCTGGGATCATGTTGGTCAGGTTCAGCATGTAGCCCAATGTCCACCCGGCGCTGGATTTGTCAATCTGCAAGAGTGAGGAAAGTGTGTTGTTTATGGTCCAAGAGATACTTTACAGGTTTCTTCCAACCTCATCCAGGACACTGCAGCTGACATGTTGACAGCACCCCATGCAATTTTCTAAATGGATTGATTTCATAGTCTATTGGGAATATGGTTGTGGGGAAAATACAAGCAAAGGATTAGAAGAGAGTTTGAAGCCTCACTGCCATAGTCCCAAAGTCAGAAAGGCCTTTGGTGAGTGACTGCCCACTGCACTTTTGGAACTCTTGGCATTCTTATTCTCCTGCTTATATGAATGTGTGGAGTGGGGAAGAGGGATGAGGGGAGGTGAGAGGAAGCAGGTAAAAGGGTGAAGGAATAATGAATGTCTCTGGCCTTTTACACCTTTGTCAAGCCAAGAAACATCTGTAAATCATCAGGCCTTCTACATGATTCACTTAGGGGAAAGCTGTGGAAAACAGTAAATCAACCTCACCAAGGTGGGCAGACTATGCACATGCATGGGAAGGTTTCTTATTAAATGATAAAACACGCAGTGATCCTCTTATAGGAATAATTTCCAGTCACCTCAGAACTTATTGGAATATAGGGAATCTTTGAATTCTAAATGTGGAAATGCTTTTATTACATGAGTTGTGCATGGCCACAGAAGAAGTATTAGGAGGTACAGATAGAAGGAAAGAAGAAAATTAAAAACCATCCACACGTCACCACTCAGAAATTGCTACACATTTTGTGGCATATCCTTCTAGTGCTCTCTGAGAACTTTTTAATTATAAAGAAGTGGAGTTAAATTGTGCACACAATAATTCATTTAACAATCCCTAGAGAACATCCTCCAGGTTTATTAAGATAGTCCTACATTGTTTCCACTTCATTGTCCCTGGCATGAACTGCCTTATATAATCACTCTTACTCACCTTAGCCAGTCATTTCTAAATCCTAAAAATGGAGTAATTGGACACCACGATGTGCCCATTTTAAAGGCTCTTAGCACACATTGTCATAACAGTACATGTCCCTTCTCCCCCAAACCCTTACTAATATTGGGAATTAATAATTTGTAAAACATCCACTTCCCTGTGGGGAATGGAAACCTTATCTGACTGCATGTGTCAAGAAGGCTCCAGAGGTAAAGGAGTTATCATTCAGGCTTTAGAAATCAGGGCTGCTCTGTGTGTCAGTAAAAAATGTGAACTAGTTCCTTCAGAGAAACAAAATAGACTGTAATTGGATGGAAGAGAGTCTGAGATATTAAAATCAGGAAAACATATGAGTTTGAATTAGAAGGCCCATACTGAAAAGAATGGACTCATACTACTGTATTTGGAGCTGCTACAGCATCTGCATCAATGATTTATTTTGCTTGATATCACCATATTTTAAATGGAGTTAAAATGTGTTTTCCCTTAGTGTATATGGTTTTAAAATCTCCAGTAATGCTACTCTTTTTCTTTTTTTTTTTTTACTCTTGTTATTTTTTGTCAAGCTGATGTCAAAGTTTCTATACTCATGATTACCTGCAGGTGGCGCTATGGCAAAACCAGCAGTGAGGTTGCACTATGGCTCCAGCTAAGCCTGGCTTCTAAGCATCAGCCCCATTCCCAGCCACTCAGTTCCTTTCCTGGCACAGGGCTCTCAGATTGGTCACTCTTGAAGCAACAACCAACAAGGCCTCCATTCCTTACAAGGAACCATGATCATCCTTTCTAAGTTTGTGCAAGGGGCTTTAGGAAGAGATTTTATTTTGCAGTTACTCCATACAGTCATGGTCTCTAATAACTTTATTTTATTTTATATGTTAATTTTCATGTGGTGCTGAGGATCAAATCCAGTGCCTCAGATATGCTAGGCAAATGTTCTACCACTGAGCCAGAACCCTGGCCCCTGGGATGGATTTTGAAGTCAGCACAACACAATCACTGTGGCTACTGAAATGATTTATATTAACCTCTCATTTTTTGTTTTAGGAGAATTAGCCACTGTTCTGTGGGCAGACAGGTACAACTGAGAATTCAGGTTGCGCTCCTTGGGGAGATGGCCATAGGTGGTTGATATTCCCAGCAGGGCTTCACACAGTATGGCATCATGGGTTAGAGGTGAAATGGCAGAACAGAACATCAGGCCAAAACAAATCAGGTCAACTCCTACCATTTTCAAGACCCAAGCTTCTTTAGTAGCTACCACCCAACTTCCCCAGTACCCAATACATTGCCAAATTACCTTGCCCATAAAACGAATGTTTTCCCAGGACTTGCTTGTGAAATGATAGCCATGCAGAAGGAGGGAGAGGATGTAGGTACCAGAAAAACAGTATTCACTCAGGTACTTCTCCTTTATTCCAGGAAAAGATGAACTCACCTAGAAATGAAGCAAAGTAAATATACTGTACAAAGGCACCTCTCCAAGTCTCTCTTCCTTATTACTAGACTTGATGAAGCAAGGAGAAAGGCTGAGCCCATGTGAGCCTGAGGCCAGGCTCTCCCAGTGGCTCTGGGATCGGTGCTGCTCTCCTTCAGTAGGTGGAAGAAAGTTTAGTTTGGGGTCTCCTAAGGAGGCTTTCTATTCCTCCATAGAGTTCTGTACAATATCAATAGATGCTCCAGGAAAAAAAGTAGTTCCTATACTCTAGGAGGTTCAGAACCAGTTAATTTAAGTATCTGGTTCTGTCCCCTAAAGTTGAAGTTTTGCAGTCACATTATCATATTAATATCTGTATAAAATATGGCACATAAGAAATCCATTATCCTTTGTTTAATCAGAGTGCCCTAAATGCTCTTGAGGAGAGACTTGGGCTTAGTACCTCTATAAGTATCTTAACAAAATAATGTACAGCTGGGTGCAGTTGCCCATGACTCTAATCCTAGTGGCTTAGGAGGCTGAGGCAGGAGGATAGGGACTTCAAAGTCAGCCTCAGCAATTTAGGGAGGGCCTGAGTAACTCAGTGAGACCCTGTCTCTGAATAATACAAAATGTGGCTAAGGATGTTGCTCAGTGATTAAGTGCCCCTGAGTTCAATCCCCAGTACAAAAAAAAAAAAAAAAAAAAAAAAAGTCCTCACCACTCAGCTTAGACCCTGAGCTGACAGGGTCTAAGCTGGAACTACCAACTCAGAATCTGCATTTTAATACTATTCTCAGGTCATTTATATGCACAATAATGTTTGAGAAACGGAGTTCTGGAACACACTTTAAGAAGCATTTTGCTAAAGACTACTGAAAGTGCCAGCTTCTTACCTTCTGTATTCTCTCCTTACTTAACCTTTCTAAAAATATCTGATTCACATAAAGTCCTCATTCATCTTGTTAAGTCCTTGTTTGTTCATCCCATTTTCTACTGAAGATATTAAGAGCTGCCTGCCACTCCCTGCCCTTATCCATCTAGCTGTTGTGATGATATAGCCTGCTCTGCTCCTCCTCCTGCCTTAGTTAGAGGACAACAGGCTAGGACATCTCTTGGTCAGCCCAGAGTTCTGTTTGTAGCTCCATTTCTTGGCCCTTAAGTTGGGCATTCTCTCCTGAACACATGGGCAGAGAAAGAACTAACATTTTAGAGATATATCATGTACTCAAAACTATGCCAAATATTTTATATGTAGTATCTCCCTGCCCTGTCTTTCCAGTTTTTTATACTTCCTAAAAAACATGTCATCTATAAATCTTATCTTCTGACTGGGGTCTCAAAAGAGCATTTTATAAAATTCAATACCCTTCCTGATAAAAATTCTCAACAAATTAAGTACAGAAGGAATTCCAAAACAATAAAGGTTATGTAAGAAAAGCCCATGGCCAATATCATACTGAATGGAAACGACTGAGAGCATTTCCTTCTAAGATATGAAGCAAGACAAGAATGTTGAATTGTAGCACTAATAGTTTAAGTAGTACTGGAAGTCTTAGCAAGAACAAGTAGGGAAGAGAGAAAAATAATTAGTACCCAAATTGTAAAGTAAGAAATCAAATTATCCCTGTTTACAGACTTGATTTAATGCATAGCAGAACTAAATTCTCCATTAAAAGTCTATCAGAACTGATAAATAAAGTTATAAAACAAATTTAATTAAATTAACAATGTTTCAGAACACAAAATCAACATATAAATAACAGTTACATTTTATATTCCAACAATTATTTTGGTGAAAAAGAAATAAAGCAAGAAATGTCATCCACAAGAGCTTTCAAAAATACATAGGAATAAATTTAACCAAGGAAGTTGGTCCAATGAAAGAAATTCAAAAAGAAAATCAGAAATGGAAAAGGTATTATTTGCATGGATGGGAAGAATTAATACCATTAAAATGATAATATTACATAAAGTAGTCTACATATTCAATGCCATCCCCATCCCCAAACTAAGAGTCATCATTACAGAAATGTGAAAAAAAACCCTTACATTTCATATAGAAATCCCCCCCACTACACATACAGAATATCCAAAGCAATAACAAGAAAAACAAACTACCACTACTAACAACAAAAACAAAGTTTGATCTTTACAATACCTGACTTCAAAATAGACTATTCAAAGCTACAATAGCCCAAACTGCATGGTACTGGATATGCATAAGCAGAAGAATGAAACTAGGTTTCTAGCTCTCACCATATAGAAAAACTGTTTCAAAATGGGTCAAAGATCTAAGGTAAGACTTGAAACTATGAAATAACCAGCAAACAACATAGAGGATATCCTTCAAGACATTGGTGTAGGCAAAGATTTTTTTTATAAAACCGAAAAAACTTGGATAACAAAAGTAAAAATATACTAATAAGATTATCTCAAAGAAGCTTCTGCATAGCAAATGAAGCAACCAGTATTAAAAAGGAAATAACAGAATGGTAGAAATTATTTACAAATTATTCATCTGACATGGGATTAATATCCAGATTATACAAGGAACTCAAACAGTCAAAAATCCCAAATAATTAAGCTAAAAAATGAACAAATGTCTGAATCCTTAAAGGAAAATATACACAGGGCCAACATGTGTATGAAAAAATATGTTCAATTTTCTAATCAGGGAAATGCACATCAAAACCACACTGAAATATTATTTCACTCCAGTTTTAATGGCTATTATTAAAAAGACACAAAATAAATGCTAGTGAGGAGACAGATGAAGGGGAACTCTTATGTACAATCAGTGGGAATGTAAATTAGTACAGTCATTATGGAAAAAAGTATGGAGTGTGTTTAAAAAATTAAAAATCGAATTATTATATGATCTGTCAATATCACACCTGGGAAAATATCCACAGGAAATGAAATTGTTACATCCAAGAGATACCTGTAATACTCCTATTATGGTGTAGATATGAGGTGTCCCCCAAAAGTTCATGTAATGCAAGAAAGTTTAGATGTCAAATGATTGAGATATGAGAGTTTTAGCTTAATCAGTGCATTGGTCACTGATAGGAATTAACTGGGCGGTAACTGTAGGGAGGTGAAGAGCAGCTGGAGGAGGTGAGTCACTGGGCATGGCTTTGGAGTTTATATTCTGTTTGTGGTGAGTGGAGCTCTCTCTGCTCTTGGTGCCATGTCCTGACCTACTTTCCTCTCCCACGCCCTTCTGCCATGATGTCCTGCTTTGCTTTAGGTCAAACAATATTAAGTCAGATAACCCTGGACTGAACCTCTAAAACCATGAGCCCCCAAATAAAATTTTCCTCCTCCATGTTGTTCTTGTCAGGTCTTTGATTCAGGAGATTTGGGAACTCTTTGGAATTTGTGGCAGGAATTTTGAAAAGTTTAGAGGTACAAGTTGGAAAAGTTTTAGTTGCAAGTGGGCCTTGATGGGTGATTCTGGTGGAGTTCAGAAGACCAAAATGCAAATGGACAGCAAAGACTGAGCTCATGAGATTGCAGAGGAGAAGTAGAACTTTATTGGAAATTGGACTAGAGGTCATTCATGTTACATTGTGGCAAAGATGTTGTTTCCATTTTGCCCATGTGCTGAGACTTTCCTGAGATTGAATTTAAAGGTGAAGAACTAATGACTCTGGTAGAGGAAATCTCAAAGTAGTACAGCATTCAGGCAGTATGGCATGGATACTGCTAGAGGCTGTTAGCCAAGTTTACCATGATACTCAGGAGCAGAAAGCAGAGCAGGAAGATTTGAAAACTTGCAGTTTGGCAAGAAAAATGGGAATCAAACTCTGGCTAAGGAAGGTGTGGTTGTTAGAGATATTAAAGCCACTAAAGAAATGGTGACAACAGAAATATACAATAGAAACAGACAATAGAAAATATGGCTTCAGGGCACCTCAGAAAATGGCAAGACCACACCCATCTCAGGATCATGGATGTAAAATTTAAAATGCCTTTGAGAAGAGAGTATGAGGCACCTGGTTTGCACAGGGGCACCTAGGAAGATGTTTCACTATATTCAGCAATGCAGATACTCAGAGGTTGCTGCAGGAAGCTTGGCTACTGTTTAGATTGTGGCAGACCTGGGCATCCACCAAATGGTGCCAGTTCTGCAGGACTGAAGGATGCTGGAGTTAGAGGTCTTGGAGACTTTCAAAGGATAGCTTGGGAGCCTAGACAAGCATAGCAGAGTCGGATTCCCTATGGGCAGTCTCTGAAAGGGCAATGCCTGAAGATATGAGATGGAAGCCAAAGCTTCATTGCAGATCCCTAAGAATAAGAGATACCAGTAACCTGGGAAGTCTGCCTAGGAAAACTATAGGAATTGGGCAACTGCCAAGAGAAAGGCCTCTTGGACTTCAACCAGCAAGGCCAAAGGGCTAGAGGTACACAATCCCTTTGGAGAGAACATCATCATGCAATGTGCCTAATGGGGGTCATGGAGCTCAAAGGCCATGTTTGCCCAGCTGGATTTTGGTCTTGCTTTGGTCCCATTCCTTCATTCAATGTGCTGATTTCTCCCTGTGGAATGGAAATGTTTACTCTGCCTTTATATTTTGGATATATATAACTTGCTTTGAATTTTTTATAGGGAAGTATATCTAAGAGTTTGCCTTAGTCTCAGAGGAGCCCTTGGACATGGATTTTTGGACAATGCTGAAGCTATTAAGACAATGGAGACACTTGGAAATGAACTAAATGTATTTCACATTATAAGATGGCCATGAGCTTTTGGGGGTCAGGGGTAAAATGTTATGATTTAGATATGAGATGTCCCCTAAAGATCAAAGCTCATGTGTGAGCCAATGCAAGAAAGTTTAGAGTTAAAATGATTGGATAATGACAGCCTAAACCTAATCAGAGCCTTAATCCAGAATGAATTAATTTGGTGGTAACTATAGACAGAAAAGTGTGGCTAGAGGAGGTAGGTCACTGGGGTGTGCCCTTGGGGTATATATTTTTTCCTGTTGAGCAGAACTGGTATATATTTTTTCCTG